TTCATCGAATATTCTAGAAACAGGGTCTACACTGACACTGGCGTCATCGACGCTAGAGGCCATTTAATGAAATATGTCTTCTCTTTCAAACGACGTCGTCGGCCTCCAGTCTGATGTCGTCAGCGCTGAACAATTCTTCGAAATCTCCATTTTGACTCCAAATTTCATCATTTTTGCTTCCTTATTGCTCCAAATCCTAAAAATTAACGACCTGCAATAAAACATAAAAAATATCTTCCATTAAAGTGCAATATCACTAAAATGAGTATAAAATATGGGTCAAAAAATTCATATATTTATGGTGTATCACCTCATTAGAGACCCAGATATTGATAGTATGATCGTCGACGAAATTCTGCTGCAGTAAATCGACTTCTCCCTGCGTCATCCAAGATCTTGTTCACAAAGACTGACCTAAAATTTTACGGTTAATTCAAACTTAAAGAAAAAAAAAAAGAGAAAGAAAAGAAAAAGTAAAATAAATGATTGAAAAGATCCTAAAAGAAAGAAAAGAAAAATAAAAGAAAAGAAAAGAGAAATAAGTAAGGAGAAGCTTGAGGAGATGCCTAATCAAAAATTGGCTTCACTTGAGTCAACTTAAGGAAAAAACTTTAATATAAATTCTAAACTTATATTAGATTATTAGTAGCATTATTAGTAATTTTTTCTTGAAGTTCTTTTTCATATTAATAGTCTAAATATCATTGATATGACAAATTGAAATTCTTCTTGAAATGAAAAGAGATTCAGAAATTTTAAAATTAACTACTAAGTACTCTTAGACATAGAATTTGAATCTACGTTATTAAAGATTTTCTTAAATTTTAATATTTTATTTATTTAAGTAAAGTATAGAAGTTATAAGTTATTATCTATCCTAAGTCATATGCTTTTATATGGTAAATGTGTCACTTGAGAACAAGTAACATTTAAGTTTGCGTGATTTTGATACACCAAAATGATATGTTATTTTAAGTATATATCTAATGCTTAATTTTTGTGATATTACACTTTAAATAAGGGTATTTTCATATTTTTGTTGCAAGTATATCAATTTTAGGCATTTGGAACAAAAGTAGCAAAAAAGACAAAATTTGGAGCCAAAATAGTGAAGTTTCAAATTCTAGCGCATGATGTGCCAGATGCGTCGAAGTGGCGCCATATGCGCTGAATTAGAGCCAGTTACGCCGAAACCATGATTCGCATGGTCTTCAGCAAACTGACACATGATGTGCCAGATTGGCGCTAGATTCGCCATTTGATAGAGAGTTAGTGCATGATGCGTCAGATACGCCAGGGACGACTTTTTGTGGATTATGGCGGTTCAAGACAAATTTTATACAAATTTTCAAAGGGACACTTGTTCTAAACACCCCTTGGAGTAATTCAATGCATCTAGACACTTTGGAAGATTCTTTTATGAAGGGATATGTCTCTTGGATCAATGAACATGTCTTTTGAATTCAAAAGAGTTGATTTTTAAACAGAATTTAGAGGGAAATTTTGAATTCTTTTTGGAGGGAGGTAGCCTTTAATAAAATAAGAGGAGAAGAGGAGTTTAAGAGGATTGAGGTGTGTGGCATGAAGAAGGGGAGTTAGAGAGAGAGAGAGAGAAAGTCAAGGGCTTGGAGATTTTCTTCAAAGGTTGCAATAGGAGAGGGAAGGTGAGAGATTTCTTCTTCATTACACTTTTAAGAGAGAATTGAGAGTGTTTGTAAAGAGATAAAGGCTTGGAGGCTTGGAGAGAACTTCTAGTTGGGAAGGATTGTAAGATAAGTTGTGTCTTTTATTTCTTTTTTTTTTGTTAACTTATATTTATATATGAAAATCTGTGTTTTGTCTTATCCTTCTCATGAATTCTGAGTAGTCTTCTTTATCCTTTTCCCTACTTTGAGATATGGTTTTTTAAAGAATTGATTTTATTTTATATGGTGTTATATCTAAATAATTTGTGATGATTTGAACTCCAATCTTCATTTACTTTTCGATCTAGCCAATTGAAATGTTAAAATGTGTTGAGAAACATATGTTCTGAAAGCGCTATGATTTCTACAACATGGGGAAAATCACATTTGTTTTCATGGGAGAGTATTTCATCCATGTAATTGAGTGCAAATAAATAAGGACATATATTTTGTTCGATGCAGAATTGGAGATTTTAAGGTGACAGATTAAATTCCCCAATTTGGTCTAGTTAATTGGAAACTGATGTGAGATTGTTGGCCCTCAGAGGAGGGAGTAGTGGGAGCTCTGGAGTGGCAGTCAGTATCTTCCAATCCTAACTATAGAATTAGGGGGTCATACTCCGGATTAGTCAATGTTCTTTATGCTTTCGAAAGAGGGTAAAGAATAAGATTGTTCCTATTTATCATAAAACAGTTTTTATATATATTTTCAATTGATTTTAATTTCTTCACAAATCATACGCTCATTGTAAAGGGGAAGGATGCTTTCTTAAATTTGAACTTTCCGTCACAACATCTTAATTTTAATTTTTTTACATTTACTTTTGAAAGTTTAGTATTTAGTTTAGTTAATTTTGTCTTTCAACTGCATTTTAATTAAAATCCAAACACATTGTAGTGTACTTTAGTCGATGATATGCGCCACGGGAATGTCCATATCAGTAGGATACAATCATATGTCACAGAAATAAAGGTCAACCTGGAGGGTACCAAGGGTATTGTCGACTTGGCCATAGTCAACTTGAGGTACAACTATGATATTGTAGAACCCAGCTATAGTGTTGTGCCACTTAACGAGGTTGTCATGTGTGTGTCATATAAAAAATGGATGCTAACACAGAAAATATTGTGCAGTAAGAACCTCAATATATGGGTTGTCACTTTATAGAGATACAAGATTCAACACTAATTCAAATTAAAATTTAAAGTTGATTTCAAGCAAATTTCAAAATAAAATGCAAAAAGAAAAAAAAAAGAAAAAAAAAACATGATCAACACAATAGATAACACTTTGGTTGCCTCCCAAGATACCGCTTAGTTTAACGTCCTCAGCCTAACGAAAAAAAAAAAGCTTTTTCCAAGATCAAAATTCCAATTTAGCAAACTCCGATCAATTGCCGACTCTTTTGTTGATCTTGAATTTTCTACCAAGTCCTCAAATTTTAGTTTTTCATGCAACTTTTCTTTCTCAGTTCTGTAATAGTCATTTTGAGGGTATGTAGGGGGTTTATTCAGATAATCATTCTCAAGGGTACTTTCTAAATAATGTTTATCCCAATTAATTCCCCTTTTTGCAGATTCTTATTTTCTTCGATAGTTGCAAGAAATGGGTTCATAAAAGGTAAATCAGGGTATATTAATTCTTGGATTAGGTTCTCCATAGGTTTTTTCAGGTTAAGGGTTTAGCTCTATTGGGTTACTCTCTTGTTTATGGCTATCTTTAAATTCCTTCTCTTGGGGCACTTTTATGGGAGGTGCAATAGGCTTAATTATCTCCCTCACAATGCATGGGGGTTTCGTGAGAAGAAGAGCAGATCCTTCCTCATTCATTATCTAACCAAATTCATCCAACTTAGCATGCTCTTTAGGGATCAACTCTTTTAATTCAACTTTATGGACCTCTACTACCCTAGTTATCTCTTGGGATTTATCGCTTAATATGTTAGCGAATTGCCCAACTTGATTTTCTATGTAACTAAGGGCATTAGCTTGGCTTTGTAACTCCATCCCCATGTTTATGATTAATTTCTTCAAATACTCACTTTCTTCAGCGTAGTCACTACCCTAGCTATTCCAACTTTCTGTAGGATTTGCTTGAGTGCTCTCTCATTGTTAGTTATCTATATTAGGGTTATTATTGTTCTGATTGAAGTTGTGGTAGGTCAACCAACTTTGCGTGTAGGTGTTGGATTAATTCCTCGAATTTAATAACAGTTATTCTAAAGATTGGTTATTCTGCCTAAATTGGGGTTCCGAAGTGACTTCTCTAAGTTGAGTTTGACAAATGTATCCCCTACCGAAATTGTTCTACTTTCTTATCGTTGGCTTGAGTTCTCCTCCAAACTTAGTTTTCTGCATTAATGTCACTAATGTTCCAATTAAAGTTTTGGTAAGTAGTTTAGTTAGGGTTGTAGGTATTGAAAGAGGGATGGTCAAACCTAGCTCTTATATCATGAGGTTAAAGATTATGAAGGCTTGTCATCAATGTGTTGTTATGCTCTTCAAAAGTTCTAAAATTATTTTCCTGAAGGTTTGTCAATTCAATGTGTTGAAACATTTCTTTTTCAAAAAAAAATAAATACATACATGAACAAAATTAAATAGAAAACAAAATAAAGATAAAAACAACAATTTATTTTTTTTTTTGTTTTTTAAATTTTTTTAGTTTTTTTATTTTTTCAGCGCCTGCAAAGAATATAAAAAAAATACAGATGCAATAGAGAAAAATACAACATAAAACAAGAAAATAAAAATATCATAATTAGATCTTCAATTTTTCAACTAAAATTTTTCTAACAACAGAAAGGATAATTAATGTCTTTCTTCAGCAACAGGACCAAAAACTTGACGCACCAAAACTTGTTGCGACGTAAGTCGGCCGTACAACTCAAGTGCACATATCAAACAGTAATGCAGTTCAAGAGTACCCACGTATCGATCTCACAGGGAAAGTGTAATATTTACTTCCACAAAAGAAACTCTAGTTTACTAATTCAGTAAACCTTGATGATTATCAAAATAAAATTTTTAAATTCTAAAGTCCTTGCAAAACTGAATACTTGGTGGTAAAGGAAAGCATAAAACAGATGGAAAATTCATGAGTTCCTTCAAGATAGTTTTGGCTCATGCCAATGTGATTTGGAGATAGTGGCGATCGTTATTTTCCGAGATTTTATCCTATGTGATTATTATCAATCGGGGATAAGTTATGTATATGTGTTGATCAAAAGAAATAAAAAAATTATGAAATTAAATCAATAAGAATTATATTTCTTCACAACTCTTCCAAGTTGATAACAACGATACAAGGTATAAGCAAACCCACGGGATTCGCAGGTAGTGTTCTTTTTGTTTTATTTTAGCTACCGTCTATTTCATCTTCAATATTTTTCCATGGCGGAGATTGCGGAGCTTTTGCCCTTCCTCGACGACGAGGAGGAGGAAGAAGAAGAAGCTAAGGAAGACGAAGAACAGGAGGACGAATCGCTCTATTGGTCCTCCCCTCTCAATCCCACTGTCGGTTTTATTGTGGGCTGCTGGAGCTCCTCCTCCGATTCCGAGGAATCCGCCATTACTGCCTCTGAATGCTGCGACTATCACATACCCCTTCCCCATGATTTATCCGACCACACGCCTCCGTCGCCTATTTTTGACTGCTATCCTGAAGCCCTAGATGCCCGTGATTTTCGGTTGTTTGATTTCTCCGATGAAAGCGAGTTAGAAGCGATTGGGAATGGACTCTTTGTGGGCAGCCCTGAATCGCGCGATGGAGACATCCGGTTTGTGGGTTCTGGATCTGATTTAGATTCGTCGGAATACGATGGCGTCATCGCTGCAACGGATTGCGACGGCGTTAGCGTAGCCCCTGATCGGACACCAGGTCTCCGGTTCATGGGCTTTCGATCGGATTCAGAATTGTTGGAACGCGATGTCGTGATTGCTTCCACGGATCGCGATACTGTTAGTGTAGCCCCGGATTGGGCACCAAGCCTCCGGTTTGTGGGTTTTGGATCTGATTCAGATTCGTCGGAACCGGATGGCGTCATCCCTTCCACGGATCTCGATATCGTTAGCGTAGCGCCGGATCGGGCCCCAGGCCTCCGGTTCGTGGGTTTTGGATCTGATTCAGATTCGTCGGAACACGATGGCGTGATCGCTGCCACGGATTGCGATGCCGTTAGCGCAGGCCCGGATCGGACACCAGACGGTCTGGGCCAGCACCTTAGCTGGGGTTTTATCCCCGTTGATGAGGAACGGAGAAACTCCAGCGAAGAGTTCGAGTGGGAGGAAGTGGACGATCGGCTTGATGATCGTGGGGTTCTTAGCATGATGGTTGGCATTAACGATGATGAGACATCGAGTGGAAGAGGAGAGGTGATCGATGTTCAATTCGAGCCAGAGGAAGCGCGTGGAGAAGTGGAAGAAGAGGATGTCATTGGCACTGGAAGCAATATCGTCTGGGAGGTTCTCTTGGCAATGAATAATCATGCAATGGCCAGAAACAACGCTGGGACTACTGTTGAGCACATTGAAGACATACCTGATTTAGAAGATGAGGTCTTCCTCAGCCCCTCTGATTATGATTTCCAATTCGGACTACTTGACCATGATAATATAATTAGAGGAAGTCCTCCGGCAGCCAAACTTGTTGTCGATTCACTCCCATCCATCATACTAACTGAGGAAGATTTGGCAAACAATACCTGCTTGTGTGCGATTTGTAAGGATGAGTTTGCACTGGAGGAGAAGACAAAACAGCTGCCATGTTTTCACCTTTACCATAGTGACTGTATCCTGCCATGGTTAGGGATTCGGAACACCTGTCCTGTGTGCCGGTATGAATTGCCAACAGACAATCCAGAGTATGAGAGGTTGAAGGCTGGGATATGAGCTGGCGTTGCAGTTACACTGAATGCTTTGTTCAGGTTTGATTTTGACTCATTTACAAGTTTAGATTTTAGTGTGCAAAGCAAGAAAAATTACCATGTATGTTTTAACAGTTTAGGTTTATCAAGGCTACCGAGTTTTCCTTTCTTTTTGGTTCTTATGTACAAAGGTGTTATGTTAACTTGAGTTGAATTTTTATCTTGTTTGATATTTTTTGAGTTATTAATATGTAGATTTAAATGTTGAATATGCTCAAATGAACTATATGCTAACATCTTTTTAAACACAAAAAAATAGTTGCTTTCTTTTTGGACCTGCTTATTCTTCTTTCTTTTTTAATATTTAAGAACTTATGAAGCCCTTTCATGAGTAATACTAGCTAGTTTCATGCCAACTTTATGCTTTTCCTTTGGTTATTTTACTGAAGCCTGCTGAATTGTCTTCTTTCTCCACTTTTCTCACTATACTATTTTGGGTATTCAATAGAAAAAGGCTCTTTGATTACCTAAAATTTTTTTTTTTTTTTTTGTGAGGACCGGATTGGCCAACAGATTATTCTGTATATGGAGCAAATATGTATCAAGAAAACCTGTTTGATTGAGGCGCAATCCCTCACACTGAACTAGCTGTCTTTTTTTCTCTTTATTTTGATATTTTTGACTTCTAGGTATACCATTTAATTTTGCATTGTATAGATCATCCTATGCCAGTTTGGTTGCTTATACTTGATTATTGTATTCTCTAAAGGCAAAGTTTCTCCTCTCTCTCTCTCTCTCTCTCTCTCTCTCTCTCTCTCTCTCTCTCTCTCTCTCTCTCTCTCTCTCTCTCTCTCTCTCTCTCTCTCTCTCTCTCTCTCTCTCTCTCTCTCTCTCTCTACGAAGTTCACACTTTCAATCCTCAAAAACACCAAAGGCAGCCATTCTGAGTTGAAAATATCTAATGACAAGGGATCTGTTTTGACACTGAATGAAGCAAGATAATATCACTGGGAGAGAGAAGAATAAAATTCGTTTTCTTGTTTTATAAGTAAATAATTTAGATATGGGTATACCAAAGTATGACAAGGTCCAAGCTTGGTTTTGCTTAAGATTAATCAAGCACAAGCAAGGCAGTTTTTTTTTATTTTTTTGACACTAAATAGGATGCAATGTAGATAAAGGATTCATGTAGCTGAACCCACGTGGTGGGATTAAGGCTTTGTTTGTTGTTGTTGGTCCCCACTCTTCAATGGAAGGCTTTATTGAGTAGCATAAATATGATAAATTTAGATGTCATGTATGTTATATATAAAAAAATAAGGATATTTATGAAAGTATAACCTTCAGAATCAAAGCAAAGCAATTAAAATGGTGACCATCTTGGAATTTTTTATTGCTAAGAAAATATTAAGAGACGACCATCATCAGATGTTGTATAAAATCTAGTTTTAGGAAACAAATTAGTCATTTAAAAATATGTTTCGTGTGGCAGATATGACACTTTTATAGATGGATGCTAAAATTAAGTTGAACAGAGTAAGAAAAATATATGTTAATGTGATGGTGAGAGTAACATTTGATTATTAAAAATAAAATAAGGTGACTCGAGCATATATTATGTAGGGGAATAGACACGTGGATATCATGATCAGCAAGGAAAATTTGGAAACCAAAGATAAAATTACAAAAGCTAAGCAGAAAAGATGCGTGTAAAAGAAAGTTTACTTCTCATAGAACATTCAGTAGAAATGAAAAGTAGTGAGTGAAGTGCCGCGATAGTCCCCTGATTATTTATGGGTCATTTTAGTCTCAGAGTCTATAAAAATATCAAATTAGTCCCTAGGTTCTTTTAATAGAAGCTGAAATAGTTCTCAGAGATGATTCCTATTCTGAGGACATTTTCAGCCACTACTAAAATAGTATGCGGATTAAATTGGTAGTTTTATAATTCTAGGACTCAGGGGACCATTTTACCCCTTTTCTCGAAACAAATTTAAAGGATTTGTAAAGTCCACCTTCCAAATGATTTGAATATGGATGAAATCATTCACATCATGGAAAGGAGATTTAATCATATAATTAAATAGCTTAACTTTATAAATGATAGTATTAAACCTATGGTTGGATGGTTTTTGATTGTTTGTTTTCAAGCTTGTAATAACATTCACATCATGGAAAGGAGATTCTCTCTTACTGCTAATCTTTTAACATTTTGACCCTCCGTGCATAATATGGCCTGTTAATTAAAAGTAACTAGAGTAATTCATAAAATTGTTTAATATAATATATTTGTAGCTTGTGTTGCTTTCCTGTTGTTTTATTGTCATCCTGCATAAAAAAAAAAAAAGAAAAAAAAAACTTGTATTTAAATATTTAGGCGATTTCCTTCCTGAGTATCATTCCTAGCCGTTAATTCTTAAGTAGATATGAAATTAAGCCAAAGCCCTGGGATGCCTATTAGTACCAGAAGCATTATGGCAAGGGACTTACTTTTCATTTCCTTCTCGTAATTGAAGGACGGTTTAGGAGCATATAAATTTAGAAAGTTTCAATGCAAGTAAATTTGTTTTAGCATAAAGGGGCATTCACATACAATTCGTTTGTATTTGTATATCTAACAACTGAACATTTGTATTTTACATTTACGTCACTCAAAATTCTAACATAACATCAAAAATAGCACTATTACTATCATTTTAGAAGGGAAATGCACCTTTTAGTGCTGAAGTTTATGATACCAATGTGTTATGCATGTAAATCTAAACTTTGGGTGTTAGATATGTAATTACATAAGAGTTGTGTTGAACGCATGTAAATTTCCCCCAAAAAAATAGCATTTCCTCGTGCGCAACATATGCAACTATGGCATCATTTAACTTTATTAAACTGCATCAGAAAGGGGGAAAAATTATGTCAGGATATTATGATATAGTTTGTATCAATATGGACTTGAGAATCTTTGGATTTTATTTGAGATCTGCTCTTATATATGTAGAATCTATTGCACTAATCTCAAAATAAATGTAATTATATGATGGATCTAAAGGCATGAACAAAATAAAGAGAGAGAAGAAAAAAAGCAGTAAGAGAAAAGGGTAACTTTCTATAAATGGGGCATTACATAGATTTAATTTGAATTTAAAGAGTTGATTTATGAAAACTTTATTTTGATATAATTTGTATGAGGACATCTTGACATAATCTTTATTCCATCAGAAGACACGAAAGATTATATAAATGGGGGCATTTACATAGATTACATGCAATTTCTATGAGTTTACATATCTAACATACCACCTAAAACTTTCATGTCACATCAAAAATATCATAATTTTGATTTTTAACAGGTGAAATGCGCCTTTTCATGCACAAGTAAGGTGACATATATGTAAAAAATCAAGATTTAGATGCTAGATATGTAAATACATAAGAATTCAGTGATAATTTTTTAAAGGGACTGTACTATAAGATAATATATATGTGAGTGGATGTATTAGTGTTACGTTGTAATGATTCTGATTTATGGACGTGTTGGGGATATTGATCCAGTTTGTTCCTTCTTGTATATACTTGAAGAGGTATAGTTGATGCAAGGCTTGCATTTGCCAGATTTTGGACTTCAGGCATGTGGATAAATATATATATCATCAAAGTTATCTTCAAGTTGAAAATTTCTCCTAAAAAAGAGTTCGGGTAAAGATCCTATGACTTTCATCAAAAGTGGCATCTATTGAAGTGATGAACCTTTTATGGGTGTATGATAACACTTGGAATTATAGGTGTAAATGAGTCGAGTTTTAGCGAGTTCACGCTTGACTCGTGTTTAGCTCGTTCAAAATTAATTATGTTCAAAATTGCTCGTAAATATTATGTTCATGTTTGGCTCGAAATTGGCTTGTTTAAATTATTTAAAAAAGTAGATGTAGAGTGTTGGATTGGAATATACATTGTTATTACTCAATAAAAAATGCAGAACTATATGAGTGATTTAAACTTAGATATAAATGTATCTAATATATTATTAGATAAATAATATATATAATTTCCTTGTTAGAGTTAAATTATATATAAAAATAATATATGTAATTTTTAAACATATTATTAATTATGTTCAAAAATGCTCTTTTTTTCTATCACTTCATTTTGTTGGGGAGTGTTAGGGCGAGAAAGAATGACATTAATATGTTATTAAAAAATTCACTAGCATTATTAATTTAAAGGAAAGAATTAATGTTAGAGTTGAATTAGCTCTTTATCATGATTGAACATGGGGAGTATAATAGTAACATTAGATTTTTGTTTAATTAGGTATAACCATGTTATTTGAAAAGGTTTGTGCTGCCCCTTTTTTTGTACAAGAGAATAATACATCTTCAAGTGGCTTTATAAATTAAGAATAACAAAAATAATATAAGGGGTTGATGCTCTTATCGGAAAGCACGGCTTGAGCCCCATTGAGAGATTGACCTTATGGTCCAAGGATTTGTGAGTGGGCCCCACCATTGAAGAGAGAGAGGAAAAATTAAACCGAAATTATATTTTTGGTCCACCTCAAAGAGCGATTATTGCGTGTGGAAGGCGCATGCAGAGCTGCGCAGGGCGCGCGTAGCTCTGCGTGCGCCCTCCGCTAGGGCTGTAAACGAGCCGAGCTTGAGCGAGCTCAGGCTTGGCTTGTGTTCGGCTCGTTCGAAATAGCTCGTGTTCGAAATCGGCTCGTGAACAGTGTGTTCGTGTTCGGCTCGATTTAAATATTCGTGTTCGTGTTCGGCTCGTGTTCGGCTCGAAATTAGCTCGTTAAACTAAAATTGAGAAAAATAGATGTAAAGTGTGGAATTCGAACCTGGATCAAATATATACAAAAGAAGACACTAACCACATTGCCACATGAGGTGTTATGATTTAAACTTAGACATAAATATATATAATATATTATTATTTAAATAATATATGTAATATATTGTTATATAAAAAGTTATATTATTTTTTTCCGAGTCATTTCGAGCCGAACACGAGCGAAAAAACTCACACT